CTGCCCGGTGGCCAGGGCCCGTCGGCGAGCAACCAAGGCCACCGGCCCCCGGCTGGCGCGGCACAGCTCCGCGCGCCTGGTTCTGCTTTTCACCGTTGCTACCGCCAGGAAGATCTGAGTGGCCAGAAAATACAGAATAAAAGAGAGAATTGCAGGCAGTGGAATATGCAATTTGTTCTCTAATCAGTTTACTTTGTTTTTTAATTCACGAGAAGTAAATCCTGCAGTGAGTTAGAAAGGCCGTTATTACCTCCTCTGGCTAAACAAACACGCTCAATTCTCTCATTATCTTTCTTGACTTCTGTAAACCAGAACAAACACAAATCAGGAGATCTGCTGGAGAAAGACAAGACTCCAACACATGAGTGGTACAGACTTTTAAAAATATGCTATGAATGAAATATCACCACACATCATTTACAAAGGTATCTTACGCTCCTCCAGCGCCTTTCAGCCTCAGAGGTTCTGAGGTCTACGAACATCTCCAACACCAGAGATCTGCATCTACCTCTGGAGCAGAGCAGAGCACCCAGGGTTATTATTTGGGCTAGACAGAACAGTTTCAGTAGGTCAAATCTTCTACCTCTTATTTGGGGAAAAAAACCCTAGAAATGGGGGGGCATTTCTTTTGAGCGTGCCATTTAGCCCAAATGGAAGCAAATACAAGATTTTTGTACTTGTCATCTTAAAAAAACACCTCTACAAACGTTACCTAATTACACACATTTTAAAGTTAGAGACATAAATGAACTTGGCACATGAATATAAACCCTTGGCTCTTAGTTGTATTCCCAGTGATATAAATTATAGTCTCCATTACTCATGGAAACACATTACTCTTCATTTATGCTACTGGAAAGGAGAGCAGATCTTGCCCCTTAGCAACCACACATATAAAGAAGAAAGTCCACTGAAACTAGACTTTTCTCACCAGAAAATTCATGTCAAACGACCTTTTGTCCTATGTTTCGTGCGGTATGAATGGGCTGTAACCCGCCTCTCGGTCTGTATTTTATAAAGCACCATGGTATTTACAGCCATGTAAATACAGACACAAAAGTCCAGAGCAGCTTCTCTCTCCCCCATCAATAACCCCTCGTGGACCAGACGTGACGATAAGGGCGAGCTCTGGCAAAACCTCTGCTCACCTGAGCAGGGACAGGTGACGGGGGGACTCGGAACAGAGCTGAAATCTGGCTCTGTGCAAAACTTTAAGCATCTGAAACACTCCATCCCCCGATTCAGCATCTCACACGTGGAAATTACATTATCTGTACGCAGTGGGCATCAAAGAGGGAATGGATCCCACATTCTGGGAAACTAATAGGATTTATTTGGCTCTAGCTCTCCATTGGGAAGGGGTGTAAGAATATATCTGTGTTTCTACACTCCTCTTCATCTGCATGTTTTATACATTTACAGAGACATATTTTGTAGCCCTAAGCCTTACACACACACAAACGCAACCCCCTCACACACATTAAAATGATATTATAGGCCTGATCTGAGGCAGCAGAGGTCTCAAGGCGCCATCTGCTCCACCTTGGGACTGAAGCTCTGTAAAGTGAGACGATCAGTGCTAAACATCCACGAGACCTCTTCCTGCAGAGACCTCGCTTTTGGGGCTGCGAGTCAGCCCCAGGCCTCTGTCCTCTCATCGCTCCTTAGGTAGCAATGTCTAACCATGCGCCTTCTGCAGATAATGAAGCCTCGGGCTAAGAAAAGGCTGAGAAAACAGAGCGCTTATGTTATTAACGCTTAGAGAACCGGTCACCTGGAAACAAAGGCCTCAAAGGAGTCTGGTTTTACACCATGTCAGGAACTTCCCACCAGCTGGAAGACATCACAAACGGTCAACGCTATCCTGGAAGACAGCTCTGCTTTAAAGGCATCGAAGGGTTCTGTTCCTATTCACCAATGACTCCAAACTGGACGTGCCTCGTTTACAAACAATATACTTTAACTTTTAAAAAGGCAAAAGCGTGATATAAAACACAGATCTGACTGGCAAGGTGTGTCCTTTTCAAAGCAGCATAAATGCCCGTGACTATCGCTTCCCACTACCGGTGGACTTTACCCCCAGAGGCAATGCATCAACCTACCCCCACAGACTCAGCCCTCCGAGTCCCCTGCACCTACTGCTGAACTCGGGCACTGCAGCTTAGGAACCAACTGCTCCCAACAGGGCACAGAGACAGAAAAAGCGTGTTCTCTCACTTGTATTTTCATGGAAAGCAAGAAAAAAAAAGCAGCATTTAGTTTAGTCAATACATTCGGAAAACGGCAAGGAGCAAGCATACAGATCGCGGAAAGGGGCTTGCTTTCCACCATCACCTTGAGGCATGGCTCAGGCTTTGAGCTCCTTTCGCTAAGGCAAACACATGATTGCTAGCAGCATAAAAGGGAGTAAGTTATACATTTGAATCCTGTTGGGACACAAGTTATGATGAGCCAGAAACAAAAGTGCATATTCAGGGTATTTTCTAGTAAATATAGTCACAAGAAAATTTCCAACTCCATGTGAACACGCGTGCAAATCTTATGTGAGAACATGCACGTGGGACTGAAAGTCGGCCAACATGTATCTGTGTGCTGCTCTCTCTGAATCCTCCTTGACGGAGGCAATTCTGGCTGAAGTGCTCTTATTAATGTTTTGATTCCCAACACAATAGACTTTCTGCTATGCAGGGAATGATGCTGATAAGCAAAAACATTTTGCCAATATATCAGGCCATGACACAATGAGAACATTGCGATCTGAATTGTTTTAAGTGAGGAAACTTTTATGAGGCATTTATTTGATGTTTTAGCAGGAGCGAAATACCCATAATAAAGGCATTAGAACTGCATTGTGTACACAAGTGGCAACTAATTTACTTTAAGTAAGCAAACAAATTAGGGCTGGGTTTACATGGGTGTTCAGAGGTGCAGAGAAGTCAAGATGAACAAGAAACTATCTGTAATGTTATCATTAGCCCTTATCAAAAGTAATCACCAGAAAGGCATTAGACAACACATAATATCCGCTGGTAAGAAACAAACTAATGGAAGCTCTACAAGATGAGGACGACAGAGGAAGGAGGAGTACTTTGGAGAAATAAGAGTCTCGTGGCTCTGCAGATCACAGCGGGAACTGGCAGACAGACACCAACTCTTCCATTCACTCTGTGTGATCTCAGGTAACGATCTCCTGTGCTCACCCAAGAGTAAAATGAAGATAATGGAATTGTCCTACTTTACCAGGGAGTTGTCAAGCTTTAAAAAACATTTTTGATATCATAGGGTTGAAGAGCTACAGAAATGAGGACTCTAATTGTAAAGCCTGGGAAGACAGATAATGCTTTGAGTGCGAAGGGAAAAAAAACCCCACACCACTAGAGAGAAGGAAGAGCAAAGGTCCTGCTATCTTAAAAGGAAGTCCCCTACACATCTGTAGCAAGGTTTAGGTGGTTTTGAACTGAACTGAGAAAACTTTTGGCTTTCCCCAGGGCAGGTGCTTCTCCCTGGGCATCCGCACCTTTGCTGAGCGATGCAGTGCATTGAGGTTGCTGCAGAAGCGCCGCCTCCTCTCAGCATTTTTGGAACTGAGCCTTACGCCTTTTATAGGCTCTTAACAGAGATGGCTCCTGGTCCACAGCATTGGAACCTGAATCAATTCTCTTTTTCAACGTTTGGGGCTGTTCACATTTGTGATTCCCTTCCTAATCTGTTTACAGCCAGGCTACAGTCACAAATTTCAGACCTGCTGGGACTCCTGGTGCCATATTCAGTGGGTTGTGTTGGCAAGAGCTCTGCACCTGACTGGCTGCTTGCTGCTGGGAAAAATCACTGCATGCCTTGTTCAGTAACTTCAGAGTTACTGAAACGCGCTGGTCTTTGAGAAGTCTTTGCGATCCTTGAAGGGAAGTACTACAGAAATCATAGTTATACTGAATTTAAGCATACCCACTTATAAGAGGTGGGATCAGCTTCGGTGTTCAGGTTGAGACATATTGCTTTTGCTAGACTGACACTTTCTTGCTACGCTCCGTAAAAGCTGCTTTCTGCACTTTTAGATGGCAGCCAAGAGAGAAGTACAGGAATACACCTCCACCCTTCGGAAAGTCAAAAAGCCTTATATTAGCATTAGTCATGCTACTTGTGCCACAGGAAAAGCAAACCAGAAAGAGCTCAGAAGTACTCAAAACAGTCCCAGTACCTCAGAGATGTTGATCCGTCCTTCCTGAAAGGAACACGTGGTGGGATCGTGGGTGCAGAGGTTCCGGTACTTGCACCAGTGGCAGCGGAAGGCGCTGTTCACACAGGACAGGCACCTGCGAGTGGAAGAAGGACGAGTTTCAGAGCTGGCTCTCAGGGTGCAGAGCCCATACGGTCATAGATGGGCTCAGGTTCATTCATGGGATAACAACTTCTTCGGAGAAAACTAACACAAAATTACATAGTCTGACCTACAGCTAGAACCACCTCAGTTATTTGTTCAAACTCTGCTTCTATTTGAACTATATAAACGGCTACTCGCCTAGAAAGGGATGTTTTGATACAACAAAAGGAACAAACATGGTGCAATCTTAGGTTTGGGAAACTACTCAAAATATAGTCTTTACACCACCTGTGAATTCATTCACTAATACATTACAAGCTTGGATTTATGACAAGTGATTACACTGCGGTACAACAAAACACAGCATTGTACAGTCTCTGGACTTAAGTTTCAGTCCAAGGAGAATCTGGAAAACAAGGGAAGCTTGGCAAAACTGGATGAGTGGTTTTTTTTTTTTTATTTTTTTTTATTTTTCACAAGTTAGGAATGCTTAAAGTCAACGGTAACACTCCTGCTTGGCCCTGGAGGGCACAGTGTCCAGCAAGCACTTGTGATTTATATTGGAAGAAATTAACTGTTTAGGAAACCTTTTGGAAAGACTAGAGATCCCTTTCAGACATGGGTGTGCCCAGGTGCCAAGGATTTGGCTGGATATTTTTCATCCCACGCTTTCCAATTGGCTGCCAATTAGACAAAAGGTTCATGACAGCCGTTAGTATCTGCAGGAGGAACCTGCTCCACCTCCGAGGCTGGTCCTCGATGTTACATGACAGCGTTTTGCTGACTGTCTGTTGGCATAAGCCATCCCCACTGGATTTGATTCAGCCCAGGTAGCAGACAGGCAAGAGAGGGAACAGCGCAGGGGGCCCTGCAGCCACCCCACCGGATTGACACCTCAGCATATTGGCACAACGCGGGGAACGTGGCAGCAGAAATCTAGAGGGTGAGGCAGAACGAGAGCAGCAAGAGCCTGAGCGCTCTGCTCTGTCAGCGACGCTCAGAGTCCAGGTGCTGGCTGTCAGCTCCGTGCAGCTTTCCCACAAGAACATCAGTTCTAGTTGGTTTTGGCATTTTATTTAAGCTGTACTAGATCCCAAAGGGAAAGATTTGAAAAACATCTGACTTACAAGCTAATCTGCTCCTCTGCATGGAACAATTTTTTTTCCTCTCTAAAAAACCAGCAGTAGGGGCAATCTGGATAAAAACAATCTTCACCGAAAATCAGCCATCTACATAAACCCAACGTCACTGCGGCTCAAGCAATTCAATTTGTACAGAGGGTACAAATGCCACTTGCAGTGGCAAAAGCCAGAGCAGGAAGGTTGATGGAAAGCTGTAGGAGTTATTCTTGGACTTCCACCTCTTCCTGGGGAGGACACGGAGAACGGACACAGCACAGCCACCCGGATCCTCAGGCTGTGAAGCGCGTTCTGGGCAAACGTTGCTGCCGAGGGAGGAAAGCAGGATGTCACCGCACTGCCTCTTTAACCCTCCTTGCATTGCGTTGAACCAGCTGGGCAGAGGTGCCACCGCCTGGTATTTCTTCTTTCAAGCTGCTGCCACTTGAATGCATAATTAATAACTTAATTGTATTTTCCTTCTGATGCATTCATAGTGACCCTAATAGCCAAGGACGCTTATTCTAATCATGCAAATGCAAATCTGGGGAGAAATATCAAGTGCTGCAAGCTTATTTAATTACTCATTTATTTGACCCATTTCTGTCTCCATTTCTGTTTGTAGCACTTCTCCTACCCTCCCTCACCTGACCCGGACCTGGCCTTTAGCTTTCCCAGCTGGTGCTGATGGAGCTCTCAGCTGCTCTTAGCACTGCTGGGATTGAGGAAGGACGACCTCTGTGATTATCCAGGCCAACAGTTTGATTTGGCACCTCTCCCTGTCCTGTGGTTTTCTGGCTGCTGCTTTCAGCTCTGCTCGGCCCCAGCTGAGCAGGGCGAGGGCTCCCTGCAGGATCCTGAGCTCTCACAGACTCGCAGAGGGTCACCACCTTTGCTCTTTCATCCTGACTCTGCTTTCTTAGGGACCACTGTCTCTCCCTCACTTCTCAATGAAGGTGCATCTCTCCACCTTATCCATTCCGTATCCTGTTAAAATGGACTTAAAACTGCAACCGCTACCCAGTTCCCTAAGCCCTCCTGGAACCCCTGGGGACAGAGGAATTCACGTAACTGAGAGCTGAGCCATCTCAGCTTGTGCACTCACATTTAGATCAGCGTATGAGGTTTAACGGAATCCATCTGCAAAAACAACCTGTTCTTGTCAATGCCAGCCACAAACATCTTCCGCCCTTCTTAGCCCAAAGCAAACTCCCAAAGGGTACGTGCTTCGTACACAGCACAAAATCATTTCTTTTGCTACCATGCAGCCAGAAACGGCTCAGCTGCTCCCCTGCTCTGTCTTTAAATACCCTAGCAGTCTCAGACATCAATAGGCCTATCTTCTACAGTGGCTGAAACCTGTCTTCCTTTCTCTCTTTTCTGTGTGATTCATTCCCGCTAGACTGGCTCACGCCCTCGTTGAACTTACTGATAACGAGCCCAGGACGACGTTAAGCGCTACAGAATTTACAACGGTGCTAGCACTGTGTCTCCAAACACTGGCTGTTAGAAAGGCACGGTCAGGTGAAGCCACACGACTGGACAGAAGAGATGTATTGCCACTCCTGCTTCAAACCTCCACTCCTAAGGGAAAGTAAGGGTTCCCTGCAATGTCATCCCTCAAGCAAACCCAAAGCCAGGAGAATCCAGCGAAACTGCTGAAAGGACTGCACGTGCCGACAGCGGGGGAGAGGCAGAGGCTGATGCTAGAAAGCTTGACTGAGGCACGGTGCAGTAAGGACAGAGTTGTGTACGAGTGTTAACCTGCCGGGAGGCAGGGATCATTTGGGAAACGGACACTGTCTACCACGTGAGATAACGTGCGGGGACTGAAGGAGTCACAGGTCTCCTTTCATCCTGGTACCCCTGCTATGTACTATGGCCCAGAAAAAATGTTTGAATGCATGCCTAGAAAAACTCCCTGCAAGCCAAGCTCATCAGAACACACAACAGCCTTCCAAGTGCATCAGGGAAGGCCCCACAGTTTGAGACTCAAACCTAGTTCAGAAAGGTTGGGAACGACCCTGTGTTGGTGCTTCTTGACCCCTAAAATCCAGCTAGAGCAGCAAATCATGCTCCAAAAGCAGAGCTAACAGCTGACCCCTGCAGCAGGAGATGCCATCCAGCCCTGCAGGTCAGGCCTGCCTTTCGTTATCTGACTTCTGGCAAGTCCTGCCTGCATTTCACTTTGGCGTTTGAGGCTTGCTTTGTTTCCAGAGAGAAATCTATAAACACTTCAGATCTGTAAGCACGTTTTTAAGGCCAGCCAGCTGCGTGCTGCCTTCCAGGGCCAAGAGTGGAAGACGTGGCCATGGGGGATATGTTTGTACAACGCTCAGCAGCGCGGAGGCCTTGCACTGCCTGCCCTCTCCAGGGCAGCTCACAGCGCCCACGGTCACGCGCTCAGGCTGACACTTGTGCAGCTGCAATGGCCTCCGGGGGGGGCCTCTCTACCTGGATCGGGGGGAGGCAGGCAGCCTCTCTGCTAGGAGCTCTTTTGCTCACTCCTTCTAGAGCACATCAGCTGTGCTCAAACCCTCTCCAGCTGTGCTGGAGACTTCCCTGCTGCTGCCCTCCTGAGGTTGCCTCCTGCTACAGTGCCCCCCTTGATCTTGTGGAGGATGCAGGCAGGACCCAGCACTACGTACCCCCGGCTGGGTGCGGAGGAGAAAGCGCCCATCTCCTCCCTCCGGGGAAGCTCACGGCCTGCTTTCCTGGAGGCTCAGAGACACTTTGCTCTTCCTTTGCCAGCTGCCTGGGAAGATCTAGCTGAGTTCACAGTTGCAGGATCATGCAGCTTGGGGGCACCAGCAGGTTAAGGTTTTTTCAGGCTCACTCTGTCTCTCAAGGCAGAGAAACCTACACACAGATTCAGGAAGGTTCACACAAGCAGGGGCCCGCAGGCTCCCCTTTGATTGCTAGCTCAGGGCACCTCTCTCCCGGCGCCGAGCCTGACAGCATGATAAACTCCTCCTGTTGGGCCCAGAGTCCAGCACTCATTTCAGAGCCCTTTCTCTTTTTCAGTCTGGTGCTTCCCTCCACACATTCCTCCCTCGTGCATCTCAGGGGCACAAAAATGGCTTTGGGGCTTTACATGGACTATTTCAGAGTGGCATGGATTTGCTAGGTAGCCTGGAGAAAAGGTGGCTTCCGGGAAAAACAGTTGACTATACCGTTCAAAAAGCAAGTGGAAAAAAAAAGGAACTCTCCTCCCCCTGCTTAGGCCAGCGGGGAGAAGGGAGCGAGTACTTACAGCTGGTGGGCGCTGCAGTTGTAGAACTTGAACTCCGTGCTGACAAACGTCTGCCCGGTCTCCCTAGATTTCAGCTGCAACACGACGCCAAACCAGTCTAGAGAGCAAAAAAGAGCCAGACAGTCACTCTAGCAACAACGGAGGAAGCAACAGAAGACGTGGGGGCATCCTCTCCAGGCCTGTCTGACAGTTTCCTGAGCCATCTGTTTTGGGGCAGAAGGTGGAAAGCAGGTTGCTTTTTCCTTCCTGCTCTCGAAGGAAGAGCCAGGCTGCCCCCTCCGCTGTGCGTCTGCAGCGGTTCCCGAAGTTCAGACCTGAGCAGCCCGTGCAGACGCTCGCACCCGGCAGTCGCCTGCCCCCAGCTGCCTCTCCCAAGCACCCCCCGGGGAGCTGAGCTAGCTGTCTCCAGCAATCCCCCTAAACCAAATCAGATTTGATGGCAAAATACATTGGAGATGCAGGGTCTGAACACTGCCTTAGGTCACATTTGAAATGAGTTTGGGATCTCATCCCATTCCTTAAGCAACTTCTGTCCTCAGCACAAAAACATACAATTAGTATGTCAGTCTACCTTGAAAACCAGTCCAAGACTAGAACAGGAGACAATTTTGGAAACAAGGGCATTAATGGAGCTTTTTAGCAGACTTGGCACCGGATTAATTAAGGGCAGACTGCTCTCCCAGAGCTGCTGTGGGGTAAGTCTGCACTGGCCCTGCTACCCCTGTGGCTCTCAGCCCTCCCGTTCCCCGTACTCAGGCTCCACACAACGTTTTAGAAACGCAAAGATATCAGGAGGGAAGCGCAGTTGACACCTGGAAGGACGCCAAGGAGAAAACGAGTTTTCAGCAAGTAGCATTTTGGATACAGGAAGAGAATCTATGACAGCAGTGACATTAATGAAGAAACAACCCAAAGAGCAGGACCAAAAAATAGAAACTGTACCACCTACTCGTGGGTGCTGAGTCAGCCTGGCGTAGCGGCTCCTACTTTCCAGAGCCACCCAGCGCAGCAAAGCTGCGAGCCGCCGCCTGGCTCCGCAGTGGCCACGGGGCAGGCAGAGGGCTCCTGCAGCCCCAGACGCTGCCCCAACCTCTGCGGCAGCGGACACTGGGGAAGGTGGAAGAACAGGCCGAGCCCGTGGTACTACAGCTCCCAGACCACCTTACCTTGTGTGGGATGGATTTTTTAAGCAAGAGGCACATTCACCTCCGTGCGTTCAGTGGTCTTGGACAGAATCATGAGTTTCTCCAGCAGCAGCCCCAGAGGGCTCTGCTCCGCCTGGCAGATACTTCCAGGCCTGCACCGCGCGCTCTGGTGCTGTAGATGACATATTGCTATCGAGAAGCCAGTCGCTCACCTTGATCCACAGGTATGGCAGGGACATCTTTAGCTGCTGGCGAAACGCACACAACCTGGCTGCCCGCGACCCGACCTTCCACCTCAGTGAGGTTTCCAAACAGGCAGGTGATCCCGGCTGACAGGTCTGGAGCATCGCTCACCAGCAGGCTGAGCTGGAGCACGGGGAAAGGAGAGGCAGGGAGGAAATGAAACGCAGCCAGCAACCTGTCCGCAGGCAGAGCTGCTCAAGTCGCCTTCGCGTTTCCAGCACCAGCTGTTTCCCACTGAACAGCGGCCCCTTAAAGCAGCCGTCCCACGCAGGAGGCGGCCAGCTGCCCCTTCACAGGGAGCAAGGGGGAAACAGAAAGCCAAGGACGCGGCTTCCTTAGCGACACACGAGCGCCTCGCCGAGCTGCTGGG